CTGAGAGATCTGGATGGTTCATAATTTAGCAGTAGATCAGAAATGTATTTAGGGCCTAAACCATTCAGTGCTTTATAAACCAGCAGCAGTATTTTGAAATATATTCTTTGACACACAGGAAGCCAGTGTAAAGACTTCAGAACAGGAGTGATGTGATCCACTTTCTTAGTGTCAGTGAGGACTCGAGCAGCGGCGTTCTGAATCAGCTGCAGCTTTCTAATAGATCTTTTAGTGAGACCTGTAAAGACACCATTACAGTAGTCGACTAAAGATAAAAGCATGGACAAGTTTTTCCAAATCCTGCTGTGACATTAGTGTTCTTTAGGTGATAGTAGGCTGATTTAGTAATTGTTTTAATGTGACTGTTGAAACTCAGGTCAGAGTCCATGACTACACCTAGATTTCTGGCTTTATCTGTTGTTTTGAACATTGCAGACTGAAGCTCAGCGCTAACTTTTATACGTTCTGCCTTGGCTCCAAAAACCATTACCTCAGTTTTGTCTTTGTTTAATTGGAGAAAGTTCTGACACATCCACTCATTGATTTGTTCAATGCACTTACTCAGTGTTTGAATTGGAGAATAGTCTCCTGGTGAAATTGTTATGTAAATGTGTGTGTCATCCGCATAGCTATGGTAACTTATTTTGTTGTTTTTCATTATCTGAGCCAGTGGTAGCATCTAGATGTTAAAGAGAAGAGGCCCCAAGATGGAGCCTTGAGGTACCCCACATGTCATATTTGTCAACTCAGATTTGTATTTACCTATAGAAACAACGTTTTTTCTGTCCTTTAAGTAGGATTCAAAACAATTTAGAACTGTTGATGAAAGTCCCACCTGGTTTTCCAGTCGGTCTAGTAATATGTTGTGGTCAACAGTGTCAAACGCAGCACTGAGATCTAATAATACTAACACTGAAGTTCTGCCACTGTCTGTGTTTAATGGCGCATTTCCACTACACGGTCGGCCTCGGCCACACTCGGTACGGCTCGGTACGGCTTGGCCGCGTTGGGCCTTAACAGGGCCGACTCACTTCATGCTGCGCTTCCATTACAGTTTAGGAACTGGGGTAGTTACTATAGTAACGCAGTGTAGGCGGAGCCGTGACGTCATCTTCAATGAGAAATCCAGAAACACAACACAGCCGTTAGCTGTGAGCACTCAGAGCTCACAGCTCCTTATATATGTTCAGAAACTCGACAAAAGTTAAACAAGTACACACCACAGACTGCCTGTGTCATGGTGAATACAGTCGCTGCCTTATTTATGTCTGTATAGGCCGTTGTTGTGAGTGTGGACGGTCGGGGCATATACTGCGTTAGCTTAGCCAATCTCCATCTAGAAAAACACGAATTTTAAAAGGTTTTTCGCCTGCCGTCTGTCTGCAGACTTGACAAAGCATTAATTCATGGTTTTTACTAACCGGTATCAGTATGTTGTTACTTCGGCATCATTTTGAAACGTGTATTACAATTAAATCACGGTCAAATATGTCCATCTTGTTGTAGTTCTAGCCCTCTTGCCAGCGCTCCTCTCTCTAGTTTAGCATACTCAGCCCGACTCAGCCCTGTTTGTTGGCCCCGATAGAACCACAATTTTCTAGGGCCAGAAAAGAGGGGAAAAAGTGGCCCCGCGCCGTGCCGCGCCGGAACGAGGCCTAGTGGAAGCACAACCAAAAAAGGGGACGGCACGACACGGCACGCTTAAAGCGAGCTACGCGCTGCAATGGAAATGCGCCATAAGTGGATGTCATTGAAGACCTTTACAAGAGCAGTCTCAGTGCTGTGGTTTGGACGAAATCCTGACTGGAACACATCGAAACAGTTATTTAAATGCAAGACATTACTCAACTATTGAAAAACTACTTTTTCAATGATTTTACCTAGAAATGGCAGGTTTGATATTGGCCTGTAGTTGTTCATTACTGAAGTGTCTAGATTATGATTTTTTTAAGAACGGTTTAATGACTGCCGTTTTTAGGGCCTGTGGAAAAACACCTGAGTGAAGAGACTTGTTTACTATATGAAGTAGATCTGAGGCCATGCAAGGAAAAACATTTTTGAAAAACCCTGTCGGAATAATATCAAGGCAGCAGGAGGAGGATTTCAGAAGTTGTATAATGTCCTCTAGGTTTTTATCATTAATCTGATGGAATTGTGTCATGGTGTTTGAATTGATTTTAGGTGGACACAGAGATAAAACATTTGCTGTACCTGATGCAGAGGCACTGACTGCTTGTCTGATGTTCTGAATGAAGCATGAAGGGGCCTGGCGTTGACCAAGATGCCACCGTGCATATGTCCTCCACACTCACGCCGTTAAATAAGGCTGTTGACACAGCCATGGCTCGTGTAGAGTGTGCACGGACCCCCATGGGGAAGGCTCTCCCCGCCTGTCCGTAGGCATGTGCAATGCACTCGCAGAGCCAGCCTGCCAGGCGTTTCTTGGACAGAGCTTTTCCAGTTACCCCACCCCCGAAGCACACAAACAGCTGTTCCGTGTGTCTAAGGGCAGCCATGCGCTCCACATAATATGCCAGAGCACGCACCGGGCAGAGGAGGTGTAATTTAGCCTCCCTCGCCCCACTATGGGGGGGGGAAGATTAAAACCCCCCAACTGAATAGCCCTCGACCTGAACGCAGTCCTTAGGCTCTTGGGCACAAAGGAGGGGTTCGGTCTGAGTGTCGCCCCGCTCTGGTCACCTCGGATCATTAAACAACTCAGGTGCACCGATAGAGCGGTTAACTCGGACACTCTTTTGGCCGACGTTAAGGCAAGTAGCAATGCTGTCTTCCACGACAGTGCTTTCAGGGAGGAGAGCTCCAGAGGCTCAAATGATTCTGTGACCAGAGCCTCGAGCACCAGCGGCAGGTCCCACTGCGGGGCGGATGCGCGCACTACTGGGCGCAGCCTCCTGACCCCCCGCAAAAACGGCAACATTAGTAGCTGAGAAAAGGCTGACCTGCCGCCAAATCCCTCATGGCAGGACGAGATGGCTGCTGCATACACTTTCACTGTGGAATGAGCAAGCCCCTGTCCACCAATAACTATAAGTACGACAAAATAGATCCCAATTCACAAGATAGGGGCTCTATTTTCCGTTCCTCACACCATCGCAGGAATCCCAGCCACTTTGGCCTGTAACAGGCTGTGGTGGATCCCGCTCTAGCTGCCTGGATAGACTGAATAACACTATCAGACAATCCACCCTGCCTTATGCTGCGTTCACACCGGACGCGATGCGATGTTTGGGGGGCGGCGCGATTACATGTAAAGTCAATGCAGAGACACGGACAGACGTGAATTCACTCCGACGGCGAACATGAAGTGGTGGACGCGGCGCGAATCACGCGATTGAGGTGATTGAAGGGGGCCGCGTCAAACGTGAGAGTTCAATTTTTTCAACTCGAGCGTCAAATTCACGTGGCGCGTTCTCGCGAAAGCCAATCAGCGTTGGGATTCCCTCTGACGTCCCTCTGATGTCCTGCTGTTGATCAGCCCTGCCTGTTGATATATGCCACTGTGGTGCTGTTGTCGCTCCTGACCATTATGTCTCCCCTGAATTAAGGGTTTGAAATGCTGAAGGACCAACACTACTGCCCGCAGCTCTAGGAGGTTGCTGCTGCCGTGTTTCTGTTAGAGACCAGCGCCCACCTATAGCTCTCTTCAGGCAGGCCTCTCCCCATCCTGTTCTCCGTGAACACTATGATGTAGGAGGTCACCCGTCCCAGTGGGAACCCCCTCCGGAGGTGATCCGGGGACCCCCAGAACCGGAGGTTGCCCTCCACTGAGGGGGGATGGTCACCAGACGCCGTTTGTGGAGAACCACCTCTGCAGGCGGCGCATATGCAGTAACCCGAGCGGGACCACAACGTGAGCCGCCGCCATGAGACCCAGGGTCTGCATGATAGTCAAAGCTGTCACTGTTGCCCCCTGTCGCAGTCTGCAACCTGCCTCGGCAAGGATGCCTGTCTGCTCTCTGACAGGGTGGCGCGTAGCCTGCCTGCATCGAGCACCACTCCCAAATACAGCGCCTGTTGGTGAGGTATGGGGGTGCTTTTCTTCCAATTGATCACAAAACCCAACTTGGTTAGGTGTAGGATCAACTGGGCTGTATAAAAACATTGCCCGTTCCCTGGACCTGGCCATAACTATGAGGTCGTCCAGATAAAAGGAAACTCTCATGCCACGGCCGCGCAGCGGCTGGAGCGCTGTGGCCACACATTCGCTGAACGTGCGTGGGGACAGGGAGTAGCCGAACGGTAGCCTGTTGTACTCGCAGGCCACCTCCTGAAAGACAAAACGCAAATACTTTCTGTGTTTCGGAGCAATCTCGACATGAAAGTAAGCGTCCCTCAGGTCGATGGTTGTAAACCAATCGCCTGGCTGCACCAGTCCCAGTAACTGTTTTATAGTTAACATCCGGAATTTTCTGCGTGCAATGTGGAGAAGATCCAGAACGGGCCTGAATTCGCCTGTCTTTTTGGGAACCAGGAAGTACAGTGAATAATGCCCCCCCTCTCTGTCTTGCGTGCACACAGCAGACACTGCCTGTTTTTGCACCAAGGCCTGAACCTCTGCTGAGAGAAAAACCTATCTCCCCTCGGGATGATAGCTTTGCCTCTCTTATGCCTGTGAACGGAGGAGGGATGCTGCAAAACTGGAGTGAATAACTCAGTCTCAGCGTCCTGTCGATCCACTCCGTTAACACGCAGCTGCGCTTCCATTCCCCATAACACTGTGTTAGGGGATGTGCAATCAGCTGTGGGGCCCCAGCGATAAAGCTGTGGTACTCTCTGGTGACCCGTCCCACCGCAAAAAAACCCCAGCAAAGGGAAACTCTGCCCACAGAAAGGGCCGACTCTCTACTGAGGTCCTTGAACGCGCCGCGGCGCGCTCTCGTGGGAGCGCGCTACCGCGGAGGCAGAGGGCGCGTCAGGAGCTCTAGGGGCTCTGTACCGACGCCTCTCTCTCCGCCTTACCACCGCCAGGCGCTCTCTACCTTGCGGAGAGACCTGAGGGCACAGCTCAGCGGCAGCATGCGGCTGAGCTGCGCCCTCTCTCCCTCCAGGCGACTGAAGCGATGGGTGACCGAGGATATCGATCCGAAGAGCCCTTCCTTGGCAACGGGGGCCCCAAGGAGATCGTCTCGGTCTTTCTTGGCCAGTGCGGTCAGACCTAGCCACACGTGACGCGACGCCACGGTGACCAGGGACATCACACGACCGGCTGCGGTAGCCATACCATGGACCAGATTATTCATCTGGCCCACGCAGCGGTCCGAGTAATCACACCTGCCCTCAGGCGGGGGGGGCGGAGGTGTCCTGCTGAGGGGTAATCAGCGACACTCCCAACCAGAGATGGAGTACTCGAGTCCTGGACTCGGACTCGAGTCGGACTCCAGTGTCGATTTTCGGGACTCGTGACTCGACTCGGACTCGCGCACTGATTGATGCGACTCGGACTTGGACTCGTGAATTCTCGCGCACGATGACTTGGACTCGGACTCGGACTCGGACTCGTGAATTCTGGCGTACGATGACTTGGACTCGGACTCGTGAATTTTTCCCCCCACGATGACTCGGACTCGACTTGTACATTGACGCTCCGACTTGGACTCGGACTCGAGCAAGTTTTCTCTGGAGTCTGATGTCCTCTATCCTGGCGTGTGCACCTCGAAGCGAGTTCACGTACTGGGCCCTGCTATTCCAGTCTAAAGATGTCTAGAGACACACCCTGCATCGTGCTGTATGCTTTCACACATTCTGCTTCCACATTGGAAAAGAGCAGCGCAAAATGCTCGTTATGTGGAAAAAATATTGAAGAGAAGGCTCCGTAACATATTACTCTAAGGATCGAGTTCAGACATATAGGCTGTCTTGAACACGATCATCAGAGTAACGTGATCTAATCAATAAATAAAGATTCAGCCGATAACACGAAAACACATGGCTACTTAACATGCAGAATGACCATTTTGCATGCTAAGTAGCCATGTGCTTTCTGGGGCTTAATCTTCATCAGTAAACCGATTTAACCGGTAAAAGTTCCTTCAAAATAAGAGTCCCGATCTTATTACTATCAAAATAAAAGTGCAAAACGAAAACTTTACCATAGGAAAATATTGGCATACAAATATAATCACTTCTCTAAAAGGTAACTCATTTTAAATATAGTTAGACATATTATAGGTAATTTAAAATAATAATAATAATAATAATAATATTAATATTAGTAATAAGCTTTATATTTGTATACTATTACAATAATTGTAGCCAAACTCGCTTCACAGCAGTTCAATCAATTCCGATTAGTATAACATGACAGGATAAAAGCAATGTAGAGGAGCAGCTACATTACAACACATATATCCACGAAGATTAATACATGAAGACTTGTGACTCGGACTTGACTTGGACTCTTCTTAGGTGACTCGGACTTGGACTCGGACTCGAACACAGGTAATGATGACTCGGACTCGGACTCGACTCGGACACTCGTTGGGTGACTCAGACTTGGACTCATACTCGAACACAGGTAATGATGACTCGGACTTTGACTCGACTTGGACACTCCTTGGGTGACGGACTCGAAGAGTGGTGACTCGAGAGTGACTTGGACTCGTGAATTGGTGACTTGACTACAACACTGCTCCCAACACACCAAGATTACTGGCCGCCGCCGCCATCTGCGCCCCGAGCCTGAATATCTTATCCAGATACTCAAACATTTCGCGATCACGCGGCAGCGGGGGCAGGCCCTCTGCCCACCCAGCTGCCTGCGGAAGATGTAGAATCGGCAGGCTGTCGGCAAAAGAAATCACTCTGATTGGCTGTTCAGCTTAGCAAATCAGTGCATGAGAAGCGAAACGGAAGTGAAGAAGGCATACACAGACGGCTATTATTTTTCATTTTCCAGTACTAAACATGTTTTCGATTATAAGTCGTTATGTGAAACAGTGTGTGAAACAGTCTGTGATGGACGAGAGTGAAAATGGAACGCACGCTATATGTTGTTTGTATATATCACGCAGTCTGTCTTCCGGTTGCCTCTTTTGAATGACGAATACACACTACCGCCGCCTGCTGGTAAGGAGTTATTGCCACTCACACATGCGCAGTGCGTACGTGCTACTTGGCCGTCGGCTGAAGTCTTTGCAGAGTGTTTCCAGTGCGACTTTTTGGCCAAGACGCAGGAGACGTGAGGCGACACAACAATCGGGTCCGTCGGGACGTGTTCTTTGGTGTCAGTTTGGTGTGTCAGGGCCTTTAGATGAAGGTTAGGGCTTCTGCACAAAAATATAATGGGAAAATATTGAAAAGCGGCAATGATTTTAAAATGTGTCCTCATAGCGAAAGTTGAAAAATAATGTTATTAAATGGATCCTATTATGCTAATTGTCAGGTTCATATTTGTATGTTGTGCCTCTACTGTGACATGTCTCCATGCTTTAATGTTCAAAAAGCTCTTTATTTTTCTCATACTGCCTGTGCTGCAGCACCTCTTTTCACCCTCTGTCTGAACTTTGACCAATGAGGGCACGAGATAAGTTTGTGCACAGATGGAAGGCTGACAGGCAGGTAGGCCATCCAGTTATTTTAGCCGGGCCGGCTAAATTGATTGGTCGTGCTTTTTACAGCGCCACGGCTTCCACAGATGACATTTTTTTATGTATTTATTGTCAAAGCATTTAATATATTCATTGCTATCGGGATGTTAAAGGTAGGGTAAGTTTGAGAAACCGGCTCGAGATCGCTAGAATTTGAAAATACACAACCGGAGAAAATCTGCCACTTCCTTATAGAGCCCCTCCTCCAACACACACGAACGCCGGGCCGGCTAAAATGATTGGTCGTACTTTTTACAGTATTACGGCTTCCACAGATGACATTTTTTCATGGATTTTTTGTCAAAGCACTTAAGATATTCATTGCTATCGGGATGTTAAGAGCATTCCATGGAATATAACAAAAAGTGTATCTCGAGCCGGTTTCTCAAACTTACCTACCCTACCTTTAAGAGCATTCCATGGAATATAACAAAAAGTGTTTCTGAAATAAATTACATACCCCACCTTTAATGTTTTTAAATATCTTAGGCCCTCAGAGAGGGCATAGAGGGCCCTGACGGCTCGCCACTGTGAAAAGCCATAGTTTTGCTCTCGTGTTTTGGCTTGGTTATTAAATGTCATTTCAGCGTGGCTGGATTCAAGGTACCAGTGGCGAGCCGTGAGCTTTATACCTAGGCCCTCTGACCCCCACCCCTTCCCTCGAAAAAAGAAAAAAAAATAGTTATTACGTCACAGCGTATACTTCAGCGGAATATCAAAACAACGGCCCAGGGTGCAAAACACATCAATGACAGCGACCCTCTACCACACAAAACAACACCTGTGAACCCAATTTGTGTTCTTTGACATTGAAAATGATATTGCATTGTGTTTCTTACTTTCGTTGCCGTTGTATGTCTTAAGTGTAATTTGGCATGCTTTTATTTTGAAGGCGAGTTCACGCTGTTGACAGGAAGTTGTTGTTGCTATGGAAACAAGAAAAGTTTCACAGCGGGCGGAACTTGTCATAATGTCCGCGATAATAAAACCCACCCACTTAGAGGGAAGATATGATTGGTCAATTGTACTGTCATTTGACATTACTCTCTCGTTTAGTTACTATAGCGGGCCCTCTGTGAATCGCAGAGAGGGCCAGGCGAGCTTCTTTCATGTAACCCACACATTCAAACAGAGAATGAACAGGCAGATTCGAAGGATTTATTTCTTTGGAAATGTTATTTTAAATACAATTAAATCAAGTTTCTTTTCGGTAAAACTAATGAAAAATATAACAAAAATAATATTAAAAAAATATATATTTAAAAAAAATATTATTTTTTTTAATGTTTTTAAATATTATTTTTTGGAATATCTTAGGCCCTCACAGAGGGCCTAGAGGGCCCTGACGGCTCGCCACTGCAAGGTACTGTATTTTTTGTACTAGCACCTGAATACAAATTACCCATTTTCATCTCCTGTAGCCATCGATTTTTTTTAACTTGCAAATGGTCCCCTATAGATACACACTTTTATATTGATACAGCAACATTTTATAATTTATAACACGTTTTAGATACACCCTTGCAATCAGACCCCACTTTGAGAACCACTGTAACAAAGGACGTACAGCATTCCATTATCAATCCATAGATCCATCGGAAATGCAGCAACACTCACCTATAACATCACAGGGCCTGCTCTGTTTGGTACAAATAAATTATTCTTGTCATTGACATGTTGTCCAGAAACAACCTGCCACTATCAAGAATTTCCAGGTTGTCACAATAAGTGTCAATGCACCTTCATACCTCCTCACATCTGGAATAGGCCTAACAACATGAAACAGGTGTCCCCTCAATGTTAAAAATTATCCTTATCAGCTCCCTGTGATTATAAGGGTGGTGGTAGTTCACAAGTTTAACACATCCCTGTCACATTCAATCAACACATTGAAGGTGTCTTTTATCTCACCTTTACTTTTCTGATCATTATGTTACTGCTTCAGAGTGTTACACGTCACTGTCACTGGTGTCTTGTTGCTGACTTGAAGTTAAACCTTTGGATCAATACAAGGACAAAAAGACTGCACTATTTGACAATCCAAGTCAAATTAAGGGCCTATATGAGCATAAGAGCTTTCAACAAACTGCCAAAGCTGCTTTTACAGAGGGGTTGGATATTACAAATGTAGTATATTGAATTGAATTTGTATTTGGATCACTGTAGAGATTTGTTGTCTTTGTGTTGATAGTAGCCAATAGCAACATTACAACATCTACAGTACTTGATTAAATGTTGTGAGATAATAAAACATCCAAGGTGAGGTTGAATACAATCAAATCAAAATGATGATGTGCCAAATACGTTATAAGCTGATAGCACCAAATATAATAAGCATGATAAGCATCATATATAACCTATATAATCTTGATCGGATGATGTTTGAGTTATCGCCCATGTCCTTCTGTTCCCAAGGCACACAATTTCTTCTTCCCTTTATCGATTGCTGCCTTGATCCTTCATCTCGTTAGCGAAGCCGTCATTTCATTACCCTTATCCTCTCCTTGCTATTGCCGTGACCTTTCACTGAAGAGTCTAGGATGAGCTAAGAGGCAACGTTACCTCATAGCTCATCCATTTTATCAAATGGAATGCGCAACCATGTTTGAATGTAGAGGACGGGGCTGTCACTGGGTTTATTAAAGCTGGTACCCTTTGTCAGAGATGTCTCAGTAAATTAGCTCTTGACGCAACCAGAAGGCTCAGGCATTCGAAAACCCACAGACAGCTAAAGTCGTTATACCAAGGCCCCGGATCTCAAACAAATGTAGTTCTAAATGTATTCCCGATGACTGAGCAATCAACGCTTTTTTCATATCTCTGACAGTCGTGGTTGTTGACCTTTAGCTTTCAAGTGTACCCAGACTTCTGCTTTCATTTTATATTGAGCCGTTTCTTGACTAGGCTGCAATCAAGCAACGCCTACATCTGATTTCAGATGTACTAGGTATACAAATGTTTATAAAAACAACTAAAAGGGCACCCAGTGGGCGCAGACCTCCGCCAAGGCTGTCTCCATAATTGAAAAACTATGCATGGATCTGCTCCCTATTTAATGGGTTTTTACTTTGCCCTTTCCACAAAGTTTTATTAAAATTGGTTCAGAAGTTGTGCTCAACACAACTAAACAAACCAAAAACATATCCTCCTTAGCGAAGGTTATAAAAGGTACTTTGCTATATTTAAATTAAAAGGGCGGAATCTCATTGCAGCATCTTTATCCAAGCTACTTTAGCAAGATTCTTCAGGAGTTGGAGGTCACCACCACAGTGTTTCTCATGAATTGTAATAGTCTGCTTTCAATGTTTGGGTTCGTTTCAAGGTGCCACTCAGCTCTCGGTAAATCAGTCCGAGGTGTGGGCGCTAAAGCAACTCTGGCTTGACCCTACCAATCAAATGTCTGTCTCTGACCCAGTCTTTCAGCCCACAGAATGGGAAAAAAGGGAAGTCTTATTGTTGCCTGTTAGATAAAAGCATTGCGTCTCGTTGTCATAGCATCCACACAATAAACAAAAGTGCTCTGGGTATCACAGCAAATGCTTTAGGGGGACGTCAAACACCTCATGGCATATCTGCAGCACTAATGGATAAGTTCTCAATCCCTGTAAACCAGTGGCATATCTTTGCAAAAATAAAATGGGGAAAAGTTGCTCTCCAGCAGCCGCCACTGCTACACGCATGGAAGCTGGATGAATAACATTTTCCTCAAAGCGTTGAAAATGAAAAATAAATTCACAAAGCGGATGTTTTATCTCAGTGTTTTCATTATGAAAGCAAGGTCATGTTTTTTAAAGTTTACTGAGTTATCTGAAAAACCTCCCGGGTGCTCCAGGTGTTGTTTAATTCCAATTTACATTTTGGAAAGCAGGTTAAAAGTACGTGCACTCATTCTCTGGACCACTTCAATTAATAACCTCCACTGACTTGGGGAAGGTCATATCTGCACCTTTTTCTTAGGCAGCACTACCCTGATAAACTTTCTGTGGTACTTGTGCTTTTAAGCACTGCACAAGCTAAGCTGCATCAACATTACATCCCTACTTACTATACAGAATATTTCAACCATAACAAAGCAGATTTTTTATAGACAATGTTAACAATTATGAGACAGGTAGAGACTTAAATCCATAAATTATTATCTTGTAAAATTCTGACCAAAACATTTAAAAATGGTAAATTAGAAAATAAAGGTTTTTGAGAATTGATATAATAATGTGTCATGTTTTTTTTCCCTCTGTGGGACGAAATAAAGGCATTCTGATCTGTTAACTTTAACCTATAAATGGATCATGTTATTTTATATAACATAGTTTTAACCGTTTTTAATGTTGTTTAAATGTTGTATGCTCTGTAACCATATCATTGATATATAGCCTATATATTCAACGTTTATAATGGATTTTTGTTGTAAAACTGCATTTCAAATATTGGTGTGTTTCCTCTGTTTCGGGATCCTTCTGTTAACAGTTTTTGAATACTTTTCTCTATATGTAAAGTTTATATTATAATAGAAGTAGTAGCAGCATTGTAGCCTATTAGTATATTAGTAGTGGAAGCACTGGCAGCACTAAAGAAGCAGCAGTTGGTTGAATGTCGCTTTCTGTATTGTCTTTCTCTATTGACAAATGCTGCATTCCTCTTTGTCACGTGACCAGCCCGCTGTCTAATCACGTCGTTCAAATGGAGTGACGCAGGAAATTCAAAGTCGGCAGCAACGTCTCTGCTAAGAGTTTTAGCCTGCAGCATTTTCACCGGCAGCTGAAGCTTTTTAAAAGCTTCTAAAAGTTATTTATCTCCATGTTTTCATACGAGGGAATCGGGATTTCACTATAAGAATGAATGGTAAAGTTATTGGAACGGGTCCATACCGGGCAACCAAGCTGGTGAGTCTGTTGTTAGCAGAGCAAAGATAAATGTTACGTGAATGTGAGACTTTACGCTAAGTTGTAACGTTAACATTAACTTGCTATGTGCATTTCATGTTGGAAGCGTTACATAACGTACTTTCCAGCTTTCATTTCATTACGTTTTAAGCTAACAGTTGTTTTACTTTTGCTCTGGTAACGTGACTGAGTTTACGCGTTTTAAATAGTCGGCACCAAATAATAGGACATACTAAAAGGGCTCGAAATGTATGTTCAACCAAAGCAACTTTTTATGAAAAAGTTCAGCTCTGCTTTTCTGTGTTTGACCTGACTTTATCAGAACTATGCAGTAAGTGTTGTTTAGCATTTAGAATCACCTCATTTACATAAGTATTCCCAAGTGTTTACGTAAAGGGAAATTGCTGTATCTACCAGGTTAATGGAGTGCTAATGTGTTCTCTGTGTTAATGCAACATGCATCCTTGGCAGTCACTATCAGCTATTTAATTACATGTTAAAGAAAAACACAACATGCAATATTGTTTCTGGCTTTTTGGAATATTTAACCCCTTTCAACACCATTCAATTACTGCATGGCTTACATTAATGCAACACCCACACACATAATCTATATGTTGTTACATGCAATAGTGAACATACCACATTAACAACAGGCTGGCATTTTATTTTTTAAATGCACATTTGAATCCCAGTGAGTTATTTACAAACCACATGGTTCCCCATAAGCCTTTTTGATTACAGCGCCACTTACAGTCCCAGCATATGTACTACAGCGTTTCCAGCGGCCTCGTTTGAACAGACACGTTAAATGAAACAAATGCATGTGAACGGAAGACTTTTTTGAATACGCATACTGTGCATAAACGCAAACGGTCCCGTGTGAGCGGGGCCTTAATTCTTAAATACTAAAAGCACAGGTGTTCCTGATATATTTAACGAGCGCTGTGTTCCACTTAAGGCGCCGTTTACACGAGGAGAAAACTGCTTGTATCTGCATAGTTTCGCGTGCGTATAGCCCTATTATTTACACGAGGCCGATAGAAACTGACCCCGCAAACGATAACGGGTCCCAAGGTGGATAGATTTGCAAACGAAGCGCTCTGGGGGGTCAACCGAGTCCGTGTAATCACCTCTATACGAATATTTCCTGAAAAAATTGCGATAGCCCCACCTCTCCTGCTCACTGCTGTAGCAACTATCAAAAATAGCTGTGTTAATTAAACGCACAAGGGGTTCTTGAATGAAATAATATTATAAAAGGCAAACCAGAATTGTTAACGCCCAATATACTCCTTAAACAAAATAAACAGAGTCAGATTTTATGCATTGATCCATTATATTGACAAAGGTGCGATCTCACCCGGTGTTTGTAGAGAATATCTCTCTTTCTGAGCCGTCCTCTCCACAGAGACGTGCTTCTTGGTCGGTCGATGCAATATCCACAGATTCGGTTTCTTTCAGTTAACTTCCCCGTTGCATTTATCCATATGCTGAGGAAATGACTATATCCCGCTGAATACCAGCAATCGCCACACACTTCCTCCTGTCAGTAGCTACTGCTAGTGCTACTGCTACTGACCATGCTACAGATATTAGTGCAAAATCTACAGCTCCTCTACCACAACCATCAGCAATAAGTGGACATGGAGAATTACATGAACTACATGTTGCTAAATACACCGCGGGGCTTAAACAGAAGGGTAGCCATGGCAACATTGCAGCGGGGCTGCTCGGGCTGCTCTTCTTCGCGGCTTTTGGTGTATTTTGGCGGAAGTTACAGCGCCACTTACAGTCCCGGCATATGTACTACAGCGTTTCCAGCGGCCTCGTTTGAACAGACACGTTAAATGAAACGAATGCATGTGAACGGAAGACTTTTTTGAATACGCATACTGTGCATAAACGCAAACGGTCCCGTGTGAGCCTCCAGCATGCACAATAGCAGGGTCCTGAAACAAAAGCAGCTTAATGGAATTTATTCAGCCATTGTCCATTTTATTATTTGAACCTCTGCCTTTCTTTCTGTGACATTGTCAACATGTCTTTGTTACTATGTCAGGACAATCTCTTTAGAAAAGCCCTCTGCTTGGTCAATTCAATGAGATGAAGTTTGACAGTGCACTTGAAAAAAACTAAAATGGTGTACCATACTATTTTTACATTTTCCTGATTGTTTTCTGCCTAGTTTATTCAGCTAGAGCTAGGTCTCATACAGCATGGAGCATGTTGAAATACAGTTTATTGAAGTGTTCTTAACAAACTAAAGTTAGTACGTTGTAAAAACATATTTATTTCCCCCAGTGGTGAGCCGTCAGGGCCCTCTAGGCCCTCTGTGAGGGCCTAAGATATTCCAAAAAATAATATTTAAAAACATTAAAAAAAAATATATTTTTTTTAAATATATATTTTTTTAATATTATTTTTGTTATATTTTTCATTAGTTTTACCGAAAAACTTTCGATAAACTTGATTTAATTGTATTTAAAATAACATTTCCAAAGAAATAAATCCTTCGAATCTGCCTGTTCATTCTCTGTTTGAATGTAGGGGTTACATGAAAGAAGCTCGCCTGGCCCTCTCTGCGATTCACAGAGGGCCCGCTATAGGAACTGAACGAGAGAGTAATGTCAAATGACAGTACAATTGACCAATCATATCTTCCCTCTAAATGGGTGGGTTTTATTATCGCGGACATTATGACAAGTTCCGCCCGCTGTGAAACTTTTCTTGTTTCCATAGCAACAACAACTTCCTGTCAACAGCGTGAACTCGCCTTCAAAATAAAAGCATGCCAAATTACACTTAAGACATACAACGGCAATGAAAGTAACAAACACAATGCAATATCATTTTCAATGTCAAAGAACACAAATTGGGTTCACAGGTGTTGTTTTGTGTGGTAGAGGGTCGCTGTCATTGATGCGTTTTGCACCCTGGGCCGTTGTTTTGATATTCCGCTGAAGTATACGCTGTGACGTAATAACTCTTTTTTTTTCTTTTTTCGAGGGAAGGGGTGGGGGTCAGAGGGCCTAGGTATAAAGCTCACGGCTCGCCACTGATTTCCCCCCAATGCCCGTTTTTCTCAGGAGACACACATTCCACTTCCCCAAAAAATACCGATAAGCTGGAGAGACATGCCGAAAGACTTTCTTTATGAATGAAAGAATACTTGTGCCTCTTCCCCCAATTGGCTCCAGACTTACTTCTTGGCTTTTAAATGTCTTAAAGCTCCCATGTCATGCTTTTCCGGTTATTACCCGTCCCCTTGTGTGTTATGAAGGTTTTTATGCATGTAAACGGTGTGCAGAGTCAAAACCCTCAAAGTACACCCTGTAGCGAGTAAAACTCTAACACAGAAAATACCTCCCCAAAACGCCTCGTTGGAGATACGTCACTGCCCATTTGAGTCTTCCATTTAGTTCCGGGTACCGCCTGATGTCATGCGGTACCCGGAACGAAATGGACCAATCCCGAAGAGCTATGGCCACACCAGCAGCGGCGTGTTCCTCCTCCAGAGGTTCGAAGAACCGGCATTTCACAGACGAAAGCTTCCAAAACATTGCCCAGTTTGAGGCCGGATATGCACAGCTTGTTTGGACCGTTTGGAGCAGGGGAAGATCTGGGTATACAACCTGTAAGTTTGCATTGTTATTTGTGTATTTATCAAACAAGACTGTTTAAATGTGTAAACTGTGTTGGACTGCTAAGCCATTGACACAGTGCTAACTGTGCTAACTAAGTTGCTAGAGTTTCCATATATCAACTCTAATATCAGCAGATGGCCTTGCATACATGTATCTCATAGCAGGAGAATGTCTGCATTCACACACAAAATACCTATTGACAGTATACTGCGGGTGATTTGCCGGTCAGTCGCGAAACGTAATTACATTATAGCTGGCGTAGCGATCTAACACACGGAGCTTGAGCTAGTTTTGGTCAGAAAAACATTTTTGTGATGCTACGTTGCTAGCGTTTAAATATATCAACTACAATGTCAGCAGATGGCCTTACATGTTTGTCATGGCAGGAGAATGTCTGCAGTCACACACGGAATACTCATACAGTATACTCCGGTTTACCGTACATTGTGACCGTACATATACTGCATGTAGCTAACGAGGCTAGCTGTATGCTAGCGCAAAACAATGTATTCATGCAAGTTACATTGTATGGTAGCAGAATACCCGTATACGATTGCAATTATAAACACGTTATTGCTAGCCTAATATGAACCACTAGCTTTTGTTCATAGTAGTTTTATTACACTGCATTATAGTTGCCTTTCCTCCAAGCTAACGTTCATATCGTGTTAGCTACCAAGGTAAACAAAGCTAGGTTAGCATATTAGCAGGCAAGCTGTTCATTACACAACTACTACTAACGAATCTAAAACAACTAAGTTTCTCTAATATTTTGTGATTTGCATTTGATTTCGTCCAGCCAGATCCTGGCGGACAATCCATGACGGGGAAGGGATTCTACTACTACTGAGGCGTCGTGCTAAAAGGCACCGCACCGCACCGGCTGTGCGCAGGCAAGAGGAGGAGGAATGGATGATATACCGTGTATATATGTATATTTATGTTCATTTTGTACATTTCTAAAAATAAAGTTTAATGGAAATACTTAGTAGGCCTATCCTTTCTTCCCTGAATTCATATATAGCAAACCATGATTTGATTTCTCATCAAACAGTAGTAGTTTATAACGGGTAAAAATAACTTACTCTTTGTTATGAGAGTAGCTCGTAGGCCACAACGGAAAGACAAGGAGACATACACGAGTTTACAAAACCACGGCACATTTATTGTGGTAAATGCAAAGATAGGTGGTTGAGAGGATCGCAGAGTTAGTCTTCCTGCAGCCGCTTTGGAGAGAGACTGGGGCCGTAGTGTCCGGAGGTGTCCGTGATCGCGCTGATTACCCTCTTCAGCTCCACCCCATCGTAAGACAAAGGCCCTGGGGCCGTCACACTCTTCTATAACAACAGTTAAAAATATATATGTATATAAAATATACCGCTGTACCGACGCCATGATAAGACTGATGTTACGCTGAGAGCAGCCGGGAAAAGCACTGACATGGGCGCAGCCTCTCTGGTGGTTGACTAATCAGAACGAGTGGCCGAGCTGACCAATCGGAGCACACTAGGCTCACAGGGAGGGGGGGGCAAGAGCTCCAACGAGTCGTTTAGTGGAGAAAGTGAATACTGCTGAATACACATGCTTGACAGAGATGCTGTATGCGAAACCAATGTGAGTTTGGAAAATTGCACAGTATAAATCTATTTTAGTATACCTCAACAATGTAATTATGATCAGTGGAAATGGCCATGACATGGGCCCTTTAAGTTTTTCAATTTTTCACATCTGACGTTTATTTATTTTCAAAATTCGGACCAACAGAAGTGGGCAGTAATTTGCTTCAAACAGTGTGATAATCTCCTGGGTTGTAATGACCTTGTAAAACCAACATTTCCTGCTCCATCTCTACTTCTATCTACTTCCATCTTCTTATTCTTTTCTTTTTTTATCTACTACTACTTCTGGTGACTAGATGAGTGTCGTCTGGATATTGCGTGTGATTTTAATCACTATTCAGAGACTAGTTATGTGCACATATTTACTGCTGCAACATAATATTGTATGAATAAAATGAGTAACATGCACCGTTTTTTACTACAACAAGCTCTATATGTGTGCCTGTTTTCCCAGTTACGAGAACAGTGTAACAAAGCCTCAATAACATTAAAAACAGGAACTCAGTGAATGCATAAAATGCTGCTATCTGGGCTCTATTAGCAGTGTTGCTAGATGTAGTTGGTTTCCTCCCAAATGGGCTTGTTTCATTAAGTTGGACGGGGAAAATTGTGTTGGGCTGGTAAATGAAATTTGGAATGCTTTTGTCAACATGTTGCTGGTTTTTGAACATATTGTGGAAACAATATTACCAAACAATCCTGTCATTTTATGGTCGATCCAATTAACGGTTGTGTTCACTCACTCATATTATTGACTCATTTATAAATAGTTGATTTTTACAAGTTGTACAATTGAATTAATCTTAACTGATAACTAATGACCCAGTGTTTCCCACAGAATTTGATTCTATTTGTGGGGGCACCGCACCGCACACTAGTAGTGGTGTTCCAGGCGGGATTTGAACTCGCAACCTTCCGATCATCAGCCCACCTCACTATCCATTAGACCACCAACATTATTTGTTTTTCTTTTTTTATGAGATCCATTTGTAGCGGACGATATTTAATTGTGGCGGCCCGCCACAAATAAATCAATGTATGGGAAACACTGACCTATTATCTGTAGTTATCGTTGACTGACCAGTGTTTCCCCTAGGATGGAGTCATAGCAGCGGTGCTAAGGCACGTGGGCCCAGTATAATGTGAGCGCGGAGCGCGTGGAATTTTTTAGTGTGTGCGCGTGCGAAGTGCGCCCCGCCAATTTGTTTCTATGTGTCTGCCAGCACAAGAAAGGCTCTTGAGGCCTAGTACCAGGGCCGGTTCTAGCCAATTTGCTGCCCTAGGCGAGATTTTAGGCGAGATTTTATATATAAAGAATAAATGAAAAATCTCTACAAAAGACAAATACACTACAAAAACAGAAACTTATTGACATAGGTAATATATGTCAAAATGGCTTCAAATGTATTCAGTATTGTATGAACATGTTTGAATTGGGGGGTGGACGTCACATCCTCTAGAGGGGTCCGGGGGTATGCCCCCCCGGGAAGTTTTTTTGAACATTTTAAAGTAAAATGCTTCAATCTGGTGCACTTTGAGCACACAATTACTAGAGACCTGATCTAGGGGGTACAACTCTAAAACACCCATATGAAAAAGATCGGTTTACATTTTAATAATCAAATAAGTATGTGAACATAACCAATACCCTACCATAGCCAATAACAAATAAATGTAACTTATTTTATTTTTGTTGTTCATTCATATCTTATTTTACCTAGTTAACATTTATTTATTTATGCATATTTTTGTATCTCTCCAACTTTAAACGATATTTTTGGTTTACTGTCCTATAGTATACATTGGAATGATTTCAAACCTGTTTTTATTTATCCTAATAATTATAAAGGAGTGCCTTGGAAATATGTGTTTACATAATTTGTGGTCAAAACGTTTGAGACCCACTGAGATAACTTAGACTAAAATGAACTATCTAAACACTCAGAGAGTCCTTTACCTCACTGAGCCTCTCAGTCTGACAGGAGAGCTCTCCTCCACCCTGGTTGTAGAAACATCTACTTCTTATATCCGTTAGCGCAGCTAGCACCAGATTCTAATAACAACAGCGCCGGTACCGGTGCGCCCTCTCCCTGACGTCAGGACAGTGTTCAAATCTGGATCAGTTTTATCAGATCCGTTGCAGCCCCTTTTTTAGAGATTTGGGTATGGAGGAAAATAGAGAGGGTTGTGTTTTCTGACACTTGGTGAGTTCCCTGGAACACCGGGGACACATATTCATGTATAAAAGACGTACAAAAGTGCATTTTGCATGATAGGTCCCCTTTAATTATGAATGTTGTTACATCAAGGCCGCGAGCGCCAACGGTCAAAAAGGTTTTTCCCCTACCAGCGCAAAGCCCCCCAGATCTGGCGCCCATGCCAAAAATCGGCCCTGCCTTGTACATACAGTGGCAATGTCTCAAGATTTAGCAAAAATACACCTTTATTGAACATACAGTAACACAAATATTACAAATCCACATAACAAACAATCAAAAATGAAAAAGGGTTGCCACTTATTATTATTTTAATAAAAAAATAAAAAGTAATATATACAAATAGCGGCGCTGCGCCGCCGCTATTTGTATATAGGGGAAACACTGCTGACTGCACCCTTATCTTTGGTTATTTGATTCAGACATTAAGCTTTGTATGATTGTGATCTTTTTACCCTTCTATTGCATATGTGAAGGTTTAATGTAGTTTCTGGTAGGTTATGATTTAAGGTTATTTTTTACTGAGTGAGGCTTGCAACTATCCATCTGATCTGGCAACACTGTCTATCATAGAAGCAGCCTAAGTGACATATTTACATGCCATATCTTACAGTATTACACTAGATTGCAAACAAACACATCTGAATTCACTGTCTGTAGCAGAAGTTTTCTCAGCATTTGTCACACCAAGTTGTCTCCCTCCCTCTGTCACATGTGTCTCCCATCTCTGCAGTGGAATGAAACCATTAAACTGTTCCGTGGAGGCTTGCCGCTGAGAAGGCACTGGGCGAACTTCCGCTCCTATGATTGCAGTTTCACAGCAGCTGAGGCTGTCGATTATCTGCACGATCTGCTGAGGCGCAATTACAACTTTGGGCCCGAAGTGACTCGCTACCAGACTTTGCAGCTGCTCAGGAAGTTCCTCAAGGCTCATGTAATCGAAGACATCAAAGGACGCCACGGGACAGAGGACTTTGAAGACAATGGCCATCTGTACAGGTACTTAATTATCATCCTGTACTGTTCATGGTATTTGACACACTAGTGTTGCACGAGTGGTGCATTAATGTCGTATTTTTTAAGGCTGACAGGGAAGCATCGCTCCCTCGACAAAAAGTAATGGGATTATTCCATTGGATTTCACAATATTGAAGGAAAATAAGATCTGTGGCGAACACGTTTATGATACATACTTGTTTTATTCGGCAGAATAATCTAAACATTTTACCACAAATGTTGTTATAGTTGAAGAGTGAATGCAATCGGCAGAAGTAGAAAGCTAACGTTAGGCTATAAACCAATGACATCAATGTCGCATAGGTTCATGTCACCACCGCTAAGCTAACAAACTTGTGATCAGCGAGATGACATTTAGTACTCTAATCTTAGTAACTTGTTAGCAACCATCATTTTTAAGACAAGGAAAAGCTTCAGACATTAATGGTTGAGTTTTTACTGACATATTCCAAGTTCAACAGACCTCACAACAGGCATCGAACAACAAACGAGTTCAATAAACCTTTGACTTCGAGTGAGGGAACCAGAAGTGGTGAAATGCTCACTCCTTTCCTGGTTCTAGGACTCATTCCTGCACCACTCAACCGCTTTTGCTTTTGCTCTTGCTCTTACCTCCCTTAGTCCCGCTTCCAATCCTACACCTCACCGCAGCATCACGTTCTTGGCTCAGTCAAATGAGGGAAAATAAGTCTGGATTAGGCTTTTTGAGCATTTGACATGATCTTATGAAAGAATGATTCAAATAAGGGTTATCAGGTGTTCGTACTGGGTAGTCGATTTAAGTGAAAATAAATGTGTCCTTCCCAACACTATATTAGTGTTGTTGTTGCTTCTTTAGAGTTGGCCCCTTCATCAGTTTCAGCTAAACCCAGTGCTGTTGTCTCTCTCTTCAGGTTCCCCCCACTGTCTCCCCTGAAATCCTTCCCAACAAAGCCTCTGTTTAGAGACTGCAGTGACCTTCCCAGACTCATTCGTTGGGACGACTACGAAGAATTACCTCAGCGGGAAAACATAGCACCGCTGAAGTCTTCTGTCATGGTGAGAGGAAGACAAAGATGTGTCAGCTGCTCCACTGCCTTGCCTAGACTCACGCAGCGCTTAATGTGCTTAAGCGTATTCATGGAGAGCAAATGGCAAGAGGAGATGATTTCAAGTCTCTACTCTGATGCAATTACAGCTGTAATCAGTCATTCTGCACTTTTAAAGCAAAGTGCAATGAGAGGTAATGCAGTACAAGAGGCCTATATTTTTACTTACTGCAGCTGAAGTTTATTTGTTGAACTTCATTTTATGGTGCAGCTTTATGGATGTGTGTTTAATAGCATTATATTGAAGGGCTTTTCTAATACTTTGTTCACTATATTTGCATTTATGGAGAAAAAATCTGCGGAAATCTATACACCAACAATACAATACTGTGGAACGACAACAAAAACTACAGTTTGAAAAAAAACCTGATTAATGTTAACATGTGATTCAAACATTGACAGAAATGAAATTTGTGTTATTTGTTAACATGAAAGCTGTTTGTTTTTGTACTTTTGTATTGTATTGTACTTTAGGCAGTTACACACTGCCTACATTTTGTTCTGCCCTCATAATCTAAGTCAAAAGTAACCTTTTCTCATTCATGTATCCATTTTTTTTTTTAATCAGACCTCAGATCTGTGGAATAAGAGGCACAGTGTTGCTATTGGGGATGTGAATGAATGCAAGCTCATACGAAGGAAGGAGATAACTACGAAGCAAGTGGACCACATCTGGAAATCAATGACAGCTGAGCAGTATGTAACCTATCCAGAACCTTTCGTAAACACTTAATCTGTTCATGTTATTTTTAACATTTGCTCTAAATCAGTGTTTTCCTAACATATTTTCTACCATGACACTTACTTACTTTTTTCTTTTAAATTGGCTTATATTTAATATTAACATGTTAACTGTTTGCCTTTAGCCCCCACTCCACAGGAGGTTTCTGGTGTTGTGTTAATGTGGAGATGAGAGCCAGATCACACATATATGCAATACCATGCAGATAGGGATGTTTACAATGTTCACCACTCTAGATAATTAATGGCAACTCTTTTGTTTCAGTTTACAGAGAGTGTTGGGCCTAAAGTCACTGGATGGCGTTTTAAACCCTACGCATGTGAACGGCAAGCACATCGTGCACAACGTGTTCAGCGTGAATAAGACGGGCATAGTCGTACTGGAGAACAAAGCAGGTATGATGCTTTGCTTCACAATAAAAAAATAAAATGTGTTTTGTTGCAACATATATTACAACTCCCCTATCTTCTTTTGCATCTCCAGAGGACATGCCATATTGGGTGGTATCAGCAATGAAATGCCTCGCCAATTGTAAGTGTACATTTTATACTCACTTTTGAAAAAACTCACCATCTGCTTCAGGACTGCAGTGAGTCTTCCACCTCAAGGACATAAGTACTTAAACCTGAGAGCTTATGCTACAGTTACTTCACTAATGATCATTTTGAAAAAGTAGGTTCCAGATGGTAGATATCTTACTTTGAGTTGAACTGTTTACATAATATGAGTGATTCCGCACACATAAACCATAAAAACGTAAGTAGCTGGTTTGCATTTTGATCTGCACGATCACATTAACTGGGGTTTGTCGTAGACATTCAATGTGAATGTCCTTAAAGTGAGAGACGAACAAATAATGTGTTAATAAGAGATGCCTGGAACTGATCCTGAACAATACAGAACACACCATTTCCAAACACACACACGGAGGCAGGTGCTGAAAAAGAAGCAGGGATTGTACGCACATTGTTCCCTGTGAATCTTCCCATGCCAACAGCACTTTCATAGGCATGGATCAAAGCTAGCAAAGAGGCCCCATAGTGAAAGTTCATTGCAGTCACATCATTAAAGCTCAAGGAATATATCACTTAAATGTAATGCAGTTGAGGTGAAATTACAATAAATCTGGATACATTTCTATAACAGATATATTTGCTATTGTCTTGCTTTCTGTGTGCTTTCTCAGGGCCGAATGGCAATGGAAGCAAACAGCCGGCGTATCCTGGTTTTGAGAGGGATGTTCTGAAAACAGTAGCGGATTACTTCCAGAGGCTCAAAGAACCACTGCTGACTTACCATCTCTACGAAGTCTTTGTCAACATTCTCAGTGAGTGCTTCACCGCATGCATCTACTGATATGTGTGTGAACAGTGTGTGTTTGACTCTCCTCTTCCTCATGTCTCTGCAGGTTTGCAGCAGCAGCAGGAGGTGGCTACTGAAGCTCTGCAGCTCAGCACCCTCCTACTGCCCCCCCCCAACAGAAGACGCATCCAGCTTCTCCTGCGGCTCATGGCCCGGGTGTGCCAGAATCCCCACCTGCCCCCCCTCAATGACGCCATCGCCACCCGCACACTGGTACACGTATCCAAAGTTTTAACATTCTGTTTGTGTGACTTTTCAAGGACACAGTGTAACCAATGGCGCGTTCACACCGGAGTACTTTTCCTACAATAGTTCATCAGAACTCAGATATATTTGCGTTCACACCAAAAAGCCCCCTGAACTAAATTAGTTCATCAGAACCATTTTTACCCCCTTTTCAGTCCCTGCTAGAGAGCAGGGACTTTTGTCGGAGAAAAAGGTTCCTATGTCTGATTGGCTGGGCGGAATGCAAACCACGCCCCGTAAAACTCCCAAAAAGTTTTGTGAAGCCGCCATCAAGGTTCAAGGTTCTTTATTGTCAATCTGACATAGTTACAGAGTAATTATGTAGTTGAAAATCTTATGTCACAGGCTTCTCCAACAATGCAACATAATAACATAATAACAATAAGAGCAAGAGCAATACAAAAAGAATAATAGTTATAAAATAAAATAAAGTTATGATAAAGTTATGATGTGGAATAGTGCAATAGAGTCTATATACAAGTTATTGGAATGATATATATATATATATATTAGGTATTAGATACATACTACTGAGTAGCAGATGAATGTTTGAAGTTGTTTCAACAGTTCAATTTTTTAACAGTCTCACTGCCCGCGGGAAGAAACTGTCTCCGAATCTTCTTGTCCTTGCCAGGATGCTGCGGTAACGTCTGCCAGACGGCAACAGAAAGAACAGTTTGTGGCTGGGGTGATGGGGGTCTTTGATAATCCGTAGTGATTTCTTCCTGAGCTGCTGGGAGTAAAGGTCCTCCATGGATGGCAGCTCCGTCCTGGTGATGTGCTGTGCAGTTTTCACCACCCTCTGTAAAGCCTTACGATCGAGGTCGGTGCAGCTGCCGTACCAGGCCGTCATGCTGCCAGTGAGGATACTCTCTATCGTGCACCTGTAGAAGTTGCAGAGTATCCTGGAATCCATTTTGAACCTCCTCAACCTGCGGAGGAAGAAGAGCCGCTGTCGAGCTTTCTTGGTGATGGTGGTGGTGTGAAGAGACCATGTCAGGTCCTCAGTGATGTGGACCCCAAGGAACCTGAAGCTTTTGACTCTCTCCACCGTAGTCCCATTGATGGCGATGGGGGCGTGTCCCTCTCCCTGCTGCTTCCTGTAATCCACAATCAGCTCCTTTGTTTTGCTGATGTTGAGATGGAGGTTGTTATCCTGGCACCAAGATGTCAGGTTTTCGACCTCCTCTCCATGTTATTATCCTCGCATTAGCATTATTAGCATTAGCATTAGGCCAGCGCACAAACGCAGAGAGACTAACTTATGGCAACACAAAAGAAAACATGGGAGCGGTGGAGATGAGGAGGTGTCGGCGTTCTGGCAATTTACTCGGAAGGCTTCAGTAGAAGCTGCTGGGAGTCCCAGCAGCTTCTACTGAAGCCAGTCCCTAACTCCGGGGACTTCCGGCCGGGGACTTCGGGCGGCAGTATACGCCGTGAAGTTGTTTGCGGCCTGCCAGTAAACCCAAAGCAGAAGAAGAAGAAGTGACGTCAGCGGCTTCATTTGCCTAATCCACCCCCAGGAACTCATTGCGGTGTGAACGCGATCTGCTTTAGTTCATCAGAACTAAAAGAGATCTCATGAACTATTGTGGGAAAAGAACTTGGTGTGAACGCCCCTAAACACTTTAAGTCCCCATTACCTTTTATAAAACTTTGCATAGAAGAGGTTTTGTTTGCTATAGTCGTTGTATATTTGTATTTAATTAAAAAAACACTATCGAGAACTCTAACACAGTATGGAAGGGGGGCAAGGACACACACATTCTAGCCTCTGGGCACAGAGGAATATTGTTTGTTCAGAATCATATCATGCTACCTGTGAAAATGTAATGGAAAGTGGGCAATCTTTTTTTGCATGTCTATTCATTCTGTTTAAAGCCGGCATTTCTGCACAGTGGCAGATAACAATGAGCTACACTAATATCATTTTGTGTGTCTGGCGAAGCCACACACAGTCTAGTATTCGACATACTTATCTCATCTTATTCTCCTTCTTCCGCCACAAATGTTGTCATGCTACTCGTCCGGCAGTGTTGACACGAAACACACAAAAAACACATCAAAACGTGCGGAAGGACTGGGATCGGGTTGCTTTTTCTGCGATCATTTGCCCCATAGGAATGAATGGGAAATCCATTTGAACAGAGCTATAAAAAAAAACACCCCACTTCGACCCCATACAGATTCCACATACTTTAACGTAGAACAGAAATTACAAGTTTAAACGGTTCTCTAGACTATAGACTTCATTAGACTAATTGGATATTTTTTGATAGCTAGTACGGTTCTCACGTAGTCGCAGCTTACGTTTTGTGAACATTTCACACTGTTTCCCATTTTATAATGGGTGTGTATGAGAGAGTTAAGACTTAGAGTGGGTGACATCACGGCTAGAGGGGAGAGGAGCTGGAAAATCTGAAGAGTTTTTTCCAACTGTTGCTCGGCTGGCCACAATTTTCACTCTTCATACATCATTTGGTGATCATAATGTAGGGAAATTTGTCACGGCCGCACCGATATGCTCATTTAATCAAACGGACTTACATATAGCAAACACAGAGTCATCGATGTTCATCTGGTATCCTAGATACTCTGGGTAGGATACTTAGCTGATTGGAGTTACAGTATTTTACTTGGAAGCAATAATGCAGCACAATATTGTCAATACATTCTCTGACAGGCTGTCTCTCATTCACTGGCAGGGCGTTGCCGTGGAAACGCTTTGAACACACCTGTCGGTCGTTAACTAAATCCAGTGGTAATCTAAAGATGTTCAGAAACGATGCAGGAATGTGGTACAAGACTCCAAAAATGTAATGGATAAACAGTTAAAATAATAATTAAAATAGTCAGCTAAAATGAATGGATATTCTTTGTTGTACCTCAACAATACAACTAATGCTATTAACAGGGGTGCACATAACTTTTTTTTGTGAGTTACTCAGATGTGTACTAGACAGCGTTTGGTACTCACCCCACACGAAGCGTGGTCCTCCTCAGTGTCTCCTTCACTGTCCTCTATTTATACTTCTTGCATGAAGATGCACCTCCCTGTCTCTTTTTAAGCCTCCGATTTGCTTTCTCTAAAAAACTTGTTGCCAAAACTGTAAAGTCCTTGCATTTCCTGAGGCCAAGTTGAAGGATCAAATACTAAGAAATTATCACATGACTTGAAGTCATATCTGATTTCAGATGTGGGAAGTTACTAAGTACACTTATTCAAGTACTGTACTTAAGTACAATTTTGAGATATTTGTACTTTACTTGACTTTGATGCTACTGTGTACTTCTACTCCACTACAGTTCAGAGGTAAATGGTGTACTTCTACTCCATTACATGTATTGAATACCTTTAGTTACTTTACAGATCTGGACTAATGATGTGAAATATAATCAAGTGTTAAATCAGACTTTAGTTCCACCTGGAGTAAATTCACAAGCTACCCTGCAGTATACAAAGTCATTCAAACTAGCTGCACCTTTACCAGCTTTGAGAACACTTTCATGATCAATCACTATAAAACGTATCCTATATATTATTCTGAAATGGACCAATCTGCACAATCACTACTTTTACTTTTGGTACTTTAACTATATTTTGATAATACTTTTCAAATTTTACTTGAGTAACATTTTGAATGCAGGACTTTTACTGTAACAGAGTATTCCTACACAAGATCTGAGTACTTCTTCCACCTCTGTCTGATTTCAAACTCTTCCATTAACACCCCGAGTAAGTTTGCAAATGTGTGTTTTACTCTACTTTGTTGTAAATAAAACTGCAGCAGCTTGACCACAAAGCGTGAACGTTGTGATCAGCTGATTTTGCGCAGTTCTCCAGTGTGTGCACGGGGCACAGAATGTGCAGCCAGTTGGCGGAGTTTTGGCACAATTCTGTTGTTCATACCAAAGTTAACCCTGTCTGTGCACACGGTGAACAACTCTATCGTCCAGTGATCTAAGCCTCTGCCTCCTGTAAAGCTTCACAGGTCCGTCGGTTATGTCCTGCGCGGCTCGGCCAGCACCCAGGTCAATCGAGTGTTTACAAGAAACACGTGTAGACGAAATATGTGTTTTGTTTTGAGGTACGCAAAGGCGCGTAGTGACACAAGTGACGTTACGCAATTCCGATTTTTACCGCACCTGCGTACCAGTTATGTGCACCCCTGGCTATTAATACTTACAAAGCGGGGGTAATGTTAGCATCGGTACGCGCACCCAAGTTTCAGTCACACAGTCAACATTTCTCTGAATTTTCTAGTTTGTATTATACTATTTTTAAAACTGCATTCCAGTAATGGCTTTATTATAATTATTATTTTCGCAAACACTTCAGACTACACGAGGAATGTCAATTTCAAAAGTCAACATTTTCCCAAAAAAGATATATGTAATTGTTTCAATCCTTATTTCTTAGTGTTTAGCCTTTAAAAAAAACACTGCGGTTAAAAAGCTCTTTCCGTTTGCGCACAAAAATAAGCATGGACTTTATATTTAAAAAAGATCTTACAAAAAATACATTCAATACAGCCCTATGCTATCTGCTACCAGCAGTATAGAATCATGAGATCTGAAATGAGTGTCCTTTCACTGAATTTAAAACAGGCATATCTGATCGGATGTTTTATCAGCAACTCAGAATATATAAAGTTAACATTTGTTGTCTCGATAAAACTGGAAAGCTCAAAACATGCCCAGTCTGTAACACTGCATGCATACAAAACTGAGATATTAAAAGTTTTACAAAAGTGTTGTTTGGTTGAGACTTTATTGGTGGATCATGGTTTCTAACTCTTCTCTCGTTGTGTTCTGGTCCAGATGGTGCAGATGTTCTCCCACTGCGTCCTGGGCTCTGTGGATGAGATGGACCTGGACGAGCTGCTCTCCACCAAACTGGTGACCTTCATGATGGAGCACCACAACACCATCTTCCAAGTCCCTGCAAAGCTGCGTAGCCAGGTCCAGGAGCACCTGTCCCACCTGAAGAGGGCTCAAGTCAGTTCACTCTCTAAGCCTTCAATTAATGACACTAATGACTGTGTGACGAAGCCGGATGGTTCCATCCTCTTGCCAAGCACGAGGCGGGAGAAGTGGGGAGACATTAATATATGAATGAAAGCCTCATAAAGCCATGGATCTCTCTGTTATTAAGAGTTGGAAACATTTTAGGCATTAACTGTATTCCTCTTGATGGTTTAGTCTCCAGCATCTTTAGTGACACATTCACTGGATTTTTTGTATTTTGCTGTTCTGTTTGTGTATGTTTCTTGGCAGCTCTCTCTGCCCCTCGCTTTGGTCTCGTTTGAAAAGCTTGACTAAATTATTAATTACATGATCGGTAAACAAATACCTTTTTGCATTTACAAGCTAGTTCGTAGTTCAAAGATTTTTGAATAAATGGGCCCTATTGTGCTTTTTTGGGGTTCTCCCTTTACTGTAGTGCAGTGGTTCTAAAACTCTTTCTGTCAGGAGGGGGAAAAAAGTCGGCCCCCCCCCCCCCAACACAAATAGTCACGTAATGGGCCAAGTTAACATTTATTAAAATACATCAATTATGAGAATTCCTTTAAAAAAAAAATCACTTTGCTAGAACAGTGATAATAAAACAATGCTCCATAAGACTGTGCTCAAAAATTATAATAAATAATACAATTGTGCAATCCCTTTGCTAGAACAATAACTTATAATACTTTGCCACTTTGCAATCTGTTCAAAAAATGAAAAGAATGAAAATGCTGATATTTGGCCAAAAAGTGTGTCTTATCACAGCATTAGTGGCTGCAATGAGCCTGTTTGGCAGGGTTACAGGCTTGACCTTCCATCCTCATCTACATTACACACCTGTGTCCTACAGCGCCCTCATAGGTTTCTAAGTGTAACTACATGACACAAACAGTTTTTTTTTTTTTTGTCATGAAATGTTTTCCCCCTGTCATGCCTCTACGGGACCCCCACTTTGAGAAACACTGCTGTAGTGTGTTATATAGGTTTTTGTGCATTTTAATGGTCTGCAAAGGCTTAAGTCCCCAAGTTCCCTCTATATGGAATTTCTCACACACACACACACACACACACACACACAGAATTGAGAATGACTGAAGGTGAAGGTAGTTTTCCTGGTTTGAATTTACGCTCAACTTCATTCAACTTGAGACAGACCGAGTGAGAGTTTTGGGCTTTCTGTTGATCGCCTTTATGTAGTCAGAGGGCTCTTGTTCCTTTTATTTTAGCCATCTGTGCACATTTGGTTCATCTTGATGTGTGCATGTGTTTTATTTTGGCAGGCAGATCATACAAAAATAGAACACAGTCTATATTGACTGTCAACATTGTTTGGAAATGCTTGATTTTATCTTTTCATCCAACAGTGGAAGCACAGGCTTAAACTCCCCTGCTGTCAATGAGAAGCTGTAAATGGTGGGAGAGAAACTCCCTCTGGAGGGAACGTTGTGATTTTAGCCTTTGCAGACCCTTTACATGCACAGGAACCTATATAACACACTACAGGAATGCATAATAGTACCCCCTTAATTATCACACTTAAACGGTTCTGGGGAGCATGTATAACCAGTTAGCCACTGTATGGGTAACGGGACAATTATTAAGAGACTAGATCCTAACCAATCAGAATTCAGCCTCCGAAATGTACAATATCAGAATAAGAAACACTTTATTTATCCTTGTGGAAACAGTGGTTCCAGTTCCAATAGTAATAACAGTCATCATCACTGGCATATACTGAATCTTTTGTATTTGATTTGGTAAATCATAAGCTTCAGGTAAAGCCCCTGTCACACTGTCCCGAAATTGACACCAGATGGACACACAAATATGGAATTGTGAATTTCGCACGAAGATGGCCCCGAACTTGATCAAAAGCCAAGCAACAGCCGAAGCAAGTATGATGCCTACAGAAGGCCTGAACCCAGCTCACACTGTCCGCTCCTCGCAGCAGCGAGCCCCGCAACGTCCCGCCAACACGGCACCCAGACCCCACGCAGCATTCTCATCTGTTTGTCATTACTGGTGTCATTTTCTGGTTGCTAACAAACGCCATTGTAACACATAAACACTGATGTTCCGCTGTAACGGTGATGATCTCATCAGAGCACAGTGGGCTCATAGGGAGGGGGGGGCAGGAGCTCCAACAAGCCGTTTAGGACAGAGAGTGAATACACATACTATACAGAGATGCTGTATGAGAAACCCATGTGAGTTTGGAAAATTGCACAATATAAATCTATTCTAGTATACCTCAACAATGGAATTATGATCAGTAGAAATGGCCATGACATGGGACCTTTAAGATGCCCTCACGAATGGCCCGATGTTACGATCAGAGCCACATTTGAACATTTCCTTTATCGTGTGTCCATCTGGTGTCAATTTCGGGACAGTGTGACAGGGGCTTAACTGGCTGTATGTTTTTAGAAGATATTTTGCTTATTTACTTTATAACTTTTGACCCTGAGTGTTGTGGGTTTACATCATTTGCTGGTGATAATGCAGTAAATAAGAACATTTCAAATGCACTTTACCTTTATTTCTTCATAAAATAACAAGTGAGCAAATATCCAGAATATTGTACTTTGGGCAACAGCTGTGTTGGTGCATCACTATATATGTATCCAACATTTCCTCTGCCTTCCATCAGATCAAATACGCGGGTTCAGACACAGACTTCAGCTCCTCCCCAGCTTTCTGTAAACAGATCCGCAGGGTGGAGTCGGAGGAGCAGAGGGTGATAGGAACGCAGACCCCGCTGCAAGCGCTGCTGGAGGGCCTGATCGCAGACAGAGAACTCCCTGCCAAGGACAAGAGGAAACGCCTCAAACAGGTAGGGCTGGACTAATATGTTTTAAAAGAGAAATGTCATTAAATATAGATCTCAGAGGCCCTTCATGAAGTTATACTGTAATGATGCATATCCTTTCCGTTTCAGTTCCAGAGGTCGTACCCAGACGTCTATAACTATCGATTTCCCACGGAGGAAAGCAAAGCTGCTGCACTGCCTGAGAAAGCCCCACGACTCAAACCTCACCTCATGTTCCTCAGGAAACCTTTCCAGCCCTTCCAGAGGAGCTGGAGCTTCAGAGCGTGAGGAACCCCGCTGACACATCTACTCTCATGCTGTACACACAACTCTAACTCAGCGTCATGAGGAGAAGACTGTGGCTGTAACGGTACTCTGGCCATACAAATAATGTTTAAAAAGACTGGACTAGGCTGTAGCACTGTTAACCTAAGATAATACTGTAAAGGGTTGCTTCACACAAATACACTTAATTATAATAATAATAATAATAATAAGACATCCTAACTGTTTTACTCTTAGCACTATCTGAGGGTGCATTTACACGGGAACGCAAACGAACCGAATTCGATATCAAAAAAGTATTCCGTTCACACGGATACAGCTCAATAAACGTGTCCCTTCACACGAGACCGCTCGACCCGTTGGAGGCTGGAGACGCTGTAGTACATATGCCGGGCCTGTAAGTGGCGCTGTACTTCCCCCACAAAATACACCAAAAGCAGCGAAGAAGACCCCCGAGCATGGTTGCATGGTTGCCCTTCTGTTTATTCTCCGCGGTGGATTTAGCAACATGTAGTTCATGTAGTTCTCCATGTCCACTTGTTGTTGATGGTTGTGGTAGAGGAGCTGTAGATTTTGCACTAACATCTGTAGCATGGTCAGTAGCAGTAGCTACTGACCATGCTACAGCAGTGAGCAGGAGAGGTGGGGCTATGGCTTCATCGTTATCAGGAAATGATCGTATAGGGCGTACACACGGAGCCGTTTGGCCCCCCAGAGCATTCCGTTTGCAGATCTATCCACCTTGGGACCCGTTATCGTTTTAGGCGTCCGTTTCCGTGGTTCCGTTACGGCCTTGTGTGAACGAACGGGCTATACGAAAGAGAAAAGTAGCGGATATAACCCGTTTCGTTCCCGTGTAAACAGCTAAATGTGATCTAAATGTCTGAATTGACCCTTTAAAATAATACATTTTTACTGTTACTAGATGACTTGAACAAAGTATAGGAAAGGATGATGCACTAACAGAACCACTCGTGTTTCTTAAAATGAACTCTCATAGTTGTTCAACAAATGTATATTGGTACATAATTTACTAAGATACTGTACATTAGAAATATCGTAAGCAGGCATGGCATTGAATGACATTGGCCTTGCTGTATCTTGATTGAATGAAATGCATTTCTTAATAATTTGTTTACGAAAAGTAAATGATCATACTCGCAAAGCATTTCTATTGATGTATAATTTTGTACTGTTTCATATTCAGATCATTTTTTGAATAGGCCTTCAAACTGATGTCATTTCATTTGATTGACTCTTGGCAATGCAAAGAGCATTTCATTTTTATAAACACTGTTTATGTGATCTTGAATCTAGGCAGCTCCAAGACCAATATTATCTATAATTGTTATCTTTGTCACTTAATGTCAGTAAACATATCACAGGATTGATAAGAAATGCAGCATATGTGAGGTGTTGCATAACTGAGAAGCTGTATTGAAATATAGATGATAATTGCTAACATTCGTAACTACAAAACAAATAAGGAAAAAAGTAGATGAAATTGCTTTAAAAATGGTACAACTACATTTAAAACATTTGATATCCATATGCTAAACCCTAATCTCAGAAAAAGGAAGGAAAGGCTAAATCAAACATTTCTCATGTTAGAAACGGTCCTTTCTAAGCCCTCCTTCCAGATGACTGGACGGGTCCCGCTGCACTACGACTCATTTCATGTTTTTACTTGTTGGTTTTATTCTGTATATAAGAACTGTTTTATTCATTGTTACATATTTCAATTGTTCAATTTGGTCATTTTCTATTACCTGCTGTTCTTTAACTTCAATCAGGTTGTTTTTCACTTAATTTGACACTTAAAATTGTTTATTTTTTATAATGATTAAGTACTGATATTCCTATATGGATTTCAATTAATGCTCTTAAATAAATGTAATAATGCTGGAATAACTGTTACCCTTGAATTGCTGCTCTTCGCTGGAAAAATTCAACAGAATGAAAGTGAATGCATGTTGATACTGATTTTTCTATAAATATTCTAATTGGCAAATGTGACCGTTTTTTTGTCTTTTTTCTTGGCAATTATGGGTAGTTATTTGTGGCATACAGTACATAAGGAAATATGGTGTTGATGTAACCAAAACTTCTACATTCTCCAGCGTAGGATTGGCAACTGCAATTGGTGTAATTTATTGTACATCATCACCTCCTGTTCAACAGAAATATCATTAATGCAACACACAGTTAGATATTTTTTTCAATTGTTACATCTGTGCTTTGTTGGTTTGCCTGAACCAAAATCACATTTTCCAAAAGCAGTCATTTATCCTAGAAGCAGTATATTCGAGGAGGATCAAGAATATTGCCTTTAAACCAGGGGTTCCCAACCTTTATTGTGCCAAGGACCGGTTGATACATTAAAAAAAAATCGCGGACCGGTTGTCAATTTTAACTGATTTTAATATTTACTCACCACCAGCAGGTAGCAACAGAGGCTAATTGTATGTAACAGCCTGAACAAATACTAGAACAATATGCATCCAAAACATATTAACAAAGTTTAAAAAAGAACCGGTGTTGTTTTTTGGTTTTTCGGAAAATCAAAAAACCGACGTTATTCAGTTTTTAAACCAAAACGGGAAAACGTGTGTGTGTGTGTGTGTGTGTGTGTGTGTGTGTGTGTGTGTGTGTGTGGTGTGTGTGTGTGTGTGTGTGTGTGTGTGTGTGTGTGTGTGGTGTGTGTGTGTGTGTGTGTGTGTGTGTGTGTGTGTGGGTGTGTGTGTGTGTGTGTGTGTGTGTGTGTGTGTGTGTGTGTGTGTGTGAGAATTTATTTTGGGAACAGCCGCATATATGCCGGTGTCGGACAAACACACCGAACACACTGAGCTGAGCAGAGCACATACACACACACATCATGCGCCTTGGTGACTGACAGGACATCTCCTTCATAAAACTAATAAAAGGGGGAGTAATCGGGCAGGTAGATGTGTGTGTGTGTGGTTAACACGTTGCAGCCTGCAGTCACTCTTAAGCTGTTCTGATGAAGTTAAACACAGCGAAGGCGGTGCGTAAAAAGGCACAGCTCTTTACCGAGTATACGTCCCGCTGCCTCCTGATGCTGCAGCCATGTCATGAAAGAGGTTTCCTTCTATAAAGCAGCTGCGGGCAGCAGATACCGTGAGAGTCCCGGACATTAATTCATAGATCAAGGCAGACTGGTTTACTCTCCTGTTTTGCCAATCCGGTGCTTAAACAAATAGCTCTACACCCCTGGCCGACATGTCCTTAAAATGAAGTCCGAGTTTGAAATATATCTCAAATAATGTATGCACCACCATTTCCCCACATAAACATAACAGTCTGCAATCAAACGGTTGTCTCCTGTGCGCTCCTCTTCCTACTTGGCGCACCGGTAACATGCTCGTGCGCACAAGAGGCTGAGACAGGCTGAGCCGCCGAATCCCTCGGAACATCATAAAAGCCATTTTCAACGGTTTTCTGGTGAAAGATTAACTAGCTACTGGATGAAATAATATGACTGGGTGGCATAGGTGCGAAAATTAAAACACTTTTTGAAAAGAATATGATAAAATATTTTTATATATTTATAATTCTGCAAATATTACGATAAACTCACAGCTATTTCGCGGCCCGGCAGTAACACCTCCGCGGCCCGGTACCGGTCCGCGGACCGGGGGTTGGGAACCCCTGCTTTAAACAACATCTAATGGACATACTGTACTTTTCAAGCAATATTAATTTGCATTTTTGCTAGAGTGCTAGAGAATGAAAGAATGGGATATTCTAAATGTAATTTGTCTGCTCTTTTCTGTGTCTAACTTTTCTGTAGTGATGGTAATCATACGCTGTCTGACAGATGATATGAATATACAGGGTGCTAGAGTGACAGTGATATATTTAGCTGCGATCAGATTTGGGGGGTGGGGGGTTGGTGCAGTGTTTTTGTATGATTGCACAAGAGATGCAAGTCAGCAGCTGACACCTGCAACATTTCACAAGGAAACATCCCACGCTGCAAACACTTCGGCTCGTGTGCTGAGTAAGAAAGTAAACTTCATTATCCCACACAAGTCCTCCCCACAGATATGATTCACAATGTTGAAGCAACTGCACAAAAACAGCAACTTTCAAGGTATTCTGGTGGCACCAGTTAAGGTTTTAGAGAAAATAAGAAATGATAGATAAAATTAGCAAATTCTGACCCTTACACGTATACATTGGTCTTTGCCATCTGTATTTTTTATACAAGCACTGGGCTGTTGGTAAAGTTTAAAATCTTTAATGTCAACGGATGGTTTATACATGATGTGACACGCTGACGAAACATGTTTAACATGCTAACAATCTTACAAATTCAAGTCGATTTGACATGTTAAGCGACAATGATTTTGTATTGATATGTAGGCTATTTAGCTCGGGTGACTTACTCCAAGGCCTCGTGTGCCTCAATGCTCTGACTTCACAGCCTGTAGGTACTGTTGACCTGATTCTGGTGCTTGATGGTGTCTGCACCTATCATCAATGTTTCTGAAATGAATCCTGAGAGGGACATGAATATGTGTAGCATATTTTCAGGAAATAAGTCACACAAATGATCAGATTAGATATCAGATAAGATTATAGTATGTTTTATCTAAAACCTAAAATATAAATCTCATGATGTCACAAGGGGATCAGCAAAAACAGCAGGATTCACTTGTGGCTGTCATGAATGTCTCCATCAATGTTCTAGGCCATGAATCTAGATAACCAAAGCTTTATATGTACAGCATTTCTATGCCATCCAACAGCTGTTGAGATATTTTAGTCATATCCAATCTCCCCACCTGGCTCTGGGTTTTAAATGTTTTCTACTCAGACAAATACAAATTGTTGCCTTAACCTGCAAGCTCCAATGCTAATAATACATTTCAGCAATCATAGAGTCGTATTAAATGTGTTCCCGGTTGGCCACTGGACAAGCTCCAGAAAATCACTATGAAAACATCATGCCCAATTGCACATAAGCTAAATTGATTCAAAACATGACATTGATAAGGAAGACCACATCCGATGCAGACTACTGTACATGCCCCTTTTGTTTACCTTAAGAAATCCATCCCCCATCTGCTGTAGAGGATAACTACATTCTCATAATGTAGTTACAGTAGATGGAGATACCAGTGAAAGGCCAGTCTGGGTATCTGAAAAGCACCATGTTGAGGAGACAACTCAGTGACCCTCTGGCCAAACCAAGTGACCATGAAGTGAAAGTCTGCCAGCAGGAGGTGACTCCACCGGTTGAAAAAAATTAGTCCAAAAATCTATAGAAGTCAATGAGAAAATGAATATTCTCCTCCTTT